GGCCATAAAAAAGTGAGCTGGGCTGGGCGAAAAAGGCTTGAAACAAAAAGCCGGCTATGCTGTGCCTTTTGTGTTCCGACACGACTGTCAACAGCCATTAAATGCTCGGAGCTGGGCTCATAACCCAGTTATATGGGAGTGGTGGATGGGTTGAGGAGTGGAGTGGAGTATGGCAACCTATGACATGGCACAGATATCTTGATATACGCCACAGGGCGTATACGTTATGCTCACTCCCCGGCAGCTGCGACTCGGTTCAACTCAACTCGACTCAGTTAGAAAAAGGCAAGAAAGAAAAGGAGCTGAAATAAAAACAGGCTAGAGAGTTTGCGATTGTAGCTACCAACTTCTGACAGCGCAATTTATCACTATCAAAACGGGCATGTGTTTGCGGGGGAGGGGGAGGGCGAGGGGGTGGTGTATTGCCTATATAAAACAACAACAGCCTACAAAGTTGAGGTCGTAAATCAAAACTTAAATTTAACACATGCAGCGGCAAATGGCTGACACTGCCAAACGGATGTCGAGTCCTGTTAATCGTGCCCTCACTTCGAGTTCCCTCGACTTTCGCAGAAAAATTGATATGATTTACCAGGGATAGTTCGGAAAATTCAAGAAATAAATACCATTTCTTTCCATCACGATTTTTGACGAGATATATAAATTATTAACGTCAATTTCAATTAGTAAGTTTATAATGGAAACTTTGTCAAGATGGGTAATAAAATAATAGTGTGGGTTAAATAGTTTGTTTTCAATAGCTTTCAAGTAAGAGAAATGAAGGATTAATTAAGTATGGTCTTACAAAGGTAATGATTTTTTTTCTGTCTAAAAATATAAATCATTTATCCTGAGCAATATCAAAACTATGATTTTACTTAACTATTTTGTTGCGAATAAGACATGTATACATTAAAAAATAGAATGATTCTTCTGAATTGATTATTAAAACTGATCAGTCCAACATATTTCCTAAAAATGTTAAAACTTAAAATATTGATATATCTTTATGTTTAGAGCATACCATGTTCGATTTTCAGCTGTTGAATTTCGCCACCAATTCTGTTTGTATTTTACTGTTTGCATTTGTATTTTTATGCGCGATTTCTCTGGCTCAGTCTGAGTCCCTGGAATCTGAATGTGGATCTGAATCTGAATCTGGCGGTGACTCCGTTCCGGCTGCTCGTTCTCTGCTCCTTCTCTGTTTTGGTCTGCAGTGTCCGGTTTTTTTGCCTGCTTGTTTGTCAAAGCTGCCGGCCCCATCAACAATTGACAGATGGGAGTTGGGCAGTTGGGCTGTTAAGCGGAAATGGGGGTGGCCATGTTGCCGCACGCGTGAGTTAATCTGTCAAAATAGCTCAACGGCAGACAGAATTGGGGTGAGGGAGAGGCAGAAGGAGGAGGAGGAGCCCTGGCCACTTCACATGTTATCCGCCCTGATTGGTGGCCCAAACTCTCTGGCAGTGACTTGCGTGAGTGCAGAGATATCAAGTCGAAAGCCGCACATCCCCATCCCCACTTCTCCACATCCCCACATCTTCACATCTCCATCTTCATCGTCACCGTCATCGCAACGTTTCGTTTTAATTTGGCCTCGGCTGCCTTTTAAGTTGATTCCCCAGAACGAAATGCCATCAAGTGCTGCCGCTTGCCACTTCGTTTAGTCATTTGGCTGAGCCATTTTATGTTTGCCCTTGTAATTTGGCCTGATATGGTGATTTCGACTTCATATCCGCTGCCAGCAGGAAAGCAGGAAGAAATCGTCTACATCCGTTGTAAGGAGGAATCCGTATACCAATCTCCATCCCCATCCCCTAGAAACCACCACACCACCACCCACTTCCTTTGTTGTCGTTCGGTTGTCATGTGCGAGATTTGCGTGTGTTACGACGATTAATTTAAATCATTGATGATGCCCCTCCAGCTGGATGCTAGATGCTGGAATGTCTACGGATTTCGTTTTACTTTTTATATGCCTCTGTGAGTGGCAGGCGCCCCGCCCATTTCCAGGCAGAAAGCCTCCCAATTTCATCTAGCCTGCTCGTTAATCATTGTTTTCGACATTTGCCTGCTCGTCAATTGCCTTTATTGTCATGGTGATGGATCTGGCTCTGGATCGGGGGATGGTCTGGCCTATGCTGGCACAGGGCTTGTTTTAATGCGGCACTTAAGCCTGCAAATATGTATATCGAAAATGTTTCCTCCTGGCCCCGACTTGGCCAATTGTTATTCAAAAACCATTAGCCATAAAATGCAGCACGAGGCAAGAGCAAAAGCAAATTAGCCAAGGGGCTCGAGAGTTCGAGAATAATTTATGGGAATGCAGCAGCCATTTCTCGGACAGGCCATGGGCATAATTAGTTTTCGAACTTTAAAGTTATGAGTAGAGTCCGCTATCTTTATGGCCAGGCAGGCTCCGCCCTCCTCCATCGATTGTCCCTTCGTCCGTCTGTCTGTCTGTCTGCCTTCCATGGCGAGGGAATCGGAATGAGGTGGAGGAAAAGCCATGTGGCTTTCCGCATATAAAGACGGTTTTCTGCTGACCGTGTAGGTGCAGGGAATTGGAAAACCCGGCTGCAGCAGCAGCAGCGACAACCTGACGCCACGGAAATTTCTGCAGACGCGGACAAAAGTTGGCCAAGTTGCGGCAGTGTCGCCAGAATGGCGCCTATGGAACTCCCACCACCACCCCCCGTTTTCAGCCATTGTGCCCTCCCATAACTCTTAATAATCTTATGGGTAAGAGGATGAGGCATTACCTTGACTCCACTGGCGCTTAATAGAGCCATTTCCATTTTAGCGGCTCCCCCCGCTCTCTTAGCCAACTTTGTTTTTGCTTAAGTTTTGGCTAGGCAGCCAAAAGTTCGCTCGCATCCACATCAAATTTTCATGCGCATTGTAAACATTTTCTAATTGAGTTGAAAAATACATAACGCTCTTCCAAATTGTTATTGCTTGTGCAAAAATAATGAGGGGGCTGGCTGCGCATGTTTGCCTTAGCCATTAAGGACTCGAGATGCTTCCCCGAAGCTGAGCAAACAAGGCCCAAAATGGCGGGGGCGGGGGAAGAGCTGGAAAAACACTCGCAATCCAAGGCACACAAATTAATTTTAGCTGGGAAACAATTTAAAGTCTTTCAGCTGAATGGCTAACTGAGTGTCTGGATGGCTGGCTGACTAACTGACTGACTGACTGCATCAACAATAAGTGCGGAAATTGCAGCAGACGATGCCACTCGACACTTGCTTTAGTGCTCAGAACTTGGTTCTTAGTCCCGAGTCCTTAGTTCTGAGTCCTCGTTGTGCAATTAGGTGAAAGGCGGCGGGCAGGAGGCTTATGGCCTGCCGAAACAGAAGCGGAAGTTCCCGGGCACAGGAAGTGCAGCAAAGGCGATGAAGGACCTCACCCATCCTCCCCCTTGCTTCTTGCTCCTTGCTCGGCTGCTTGCTAAGCAAAATCAATACATAAAGCATGCGCCACGTTGTCCCCAACATGTGTCGAACGTGTCCTTATCTGGCACTCTCTCGCAATTCCCCTCTGCCGTTTGCCACCTTAATTGGCTGTGGCCAGACAAACGCAGCAGAGCCAAGAAAAGCCCAACAAAAATAATGAATGTCAACAAATTGTGACAAGAAATCAAAATTTCTGAAGACTATGCCAAGTGACAGCAATGTGGACAGAGCAAAAGCAAAAAAAGCAAGAGCACGATTTTGGAAACAGAAGCTAGAGGTGCAAAGGCGAAATACCCATCAAGAAAAAATATTTAAAAAGGCGCAAAGGCGAAATACCCATCAAGAAAAAATATTTAAAATTATTAATTTAAAACAAACACTTAAAAAATAAATTGAACATTTATTTTAAATGTATTTAACTTAAAATAAAATTTAAATAAAAATACTTCAACATTGTTAATTGTTATGAAATTGACATGGTTTAGAACCTGTTTAAATGCTTTAAAATTAATTAAAAGGCACTTAGCTGTTCTGTTTTGATTCTAGTACTTTGTTAAAATATAATAGAAAAAAAGGACATTTATTTTTTGCCTTTTTCTATCACTTGAACATTAATGTGTATTTTTTCACCTGATATACTTTATGTCTCACTCACAATGGGCTGAAAAAACTCACCTCATCTCGTACTCCGCCTCGTTATAGTAACGAGCTGTGCCAAATTTATGAAGATATTTGATTTGAATTTTAAACAGCGACTCTGGCCGGGCCAAAAGAGCTTAACAATGACAAGCAGGCAACAGGGTGAGCGGGATGGGAATGCTCCGCCGGGTAGAATGGCAAATGAGGCTGAATGTGTCGACGTTGGTGGAGCATAAATTACGCAAATAAATAGAAAACAAAAAACGTCCTGAGGGTGCGGCGCCCGGGGAACTTCCGGCTGTTGCTGCTGGTCGAAAGGTAACGAGATTATCTGTGTCAAGACAATTATTTCCGCCGCATCAGCAGCGTTCTGTTCTGTTTGGCCAGCAATCGTGCGTGCCAGCCAGCAGAATTGAATGGAATGCCAAATGCTAATGGGAACGACCTGGTGCCGGAGAGCCCCTAAATTCTGATGCCCCCTAATGCGGCGCAATGGCGATGTGGCTGCCGCATTTACATGATTGCCGCATTGCGTTTCCTGCCGCCTATCTGCGCAATTGTCATGCAGGCCGCTCGACTTAAGTAATTCGCAATTGAGTGACACAAATGCCCCATGAGCTTTGGGGTTCCCAAACTAATTAATTCGTTGGGGAATTTTTTAGGCCTTTTTTTGGTAGAAAACTCTTTAATAATTGTAATATTAAGTTATATAAAAGAAAAAAATACTGACAAAATCATAACAAATCATAAAATTAACCGATAAATAACGATTAAAAAGTGCTGAATGGTATTTTGGAGGAGTACTCCTACTTGCTTTGTAACGTCAAGGGGTTAACCCGTCTTTTGTAGCTACTTATCATTCAATCCATCGCTCATCTATGTATATTCGCTATTTCCTATCTCCCCCAGAGCTTTGCACTCCGACCCCCACTCACATTATCATTCACAACTCATCCGATTGTCATTGTCTATGTCCGCCCGACATCAACGGGGCAGGAGAGGAGGGATCAAGACGAGAGGACGAGGACCGAAAGAGCTGGAAAGGAAGCTGCATGCCCCACTTCTCCGTCAGCGCCATCATCTCATCCTGGATTTTGCGCTTGCATTCATTTTTAAAAGACGAAGGACCCAGGGGCATGCTTATGCAGGTATGCAGGATACAGGGATACTTCCCATTGTCTGCAGGACACCGGCAACATCCTCCAAATCAAAGCCAGTGCTCGTGCTCGGGTTCCATCTCTCCATCTTCATCTCGTCATGCGCTAATGGCACAAGGTGAGTTACTCGTTCCATACCATCTTCTCCCTCGCTTTTCTACCGCGTTGGGCGCCAAAAGTGTTAAAAAAGTGACTTTTAATGGGTTTAAATCAAGTAAAAGTTCTTAAAACTTGACTTGATTTGAGCGATTCCCCCACCGCTCCGGGGTGTCTGAGCGGAATCCGTAGCATCTACGGTCGGTCGACTGCCATTTTATGATGCTCCGCTGCTGATGCTCTCAATGCGACCGTAAAAAGTTTAAGCTGCCCGAGATCAGCTCTAGTAGCTTACTGCCACTCGGCCTGACTTTGGATAGATGGTGGAGAGGTGGAGATGGCTGCCACTTGATGGCGCTACTCGTTAGGTAATTTGGCTTTGATTGGGGTTTTGGGTGCATTTCGTGCTGCATTTGTTTCAATGACAAACACCCAGCGACATCAAAGTTGTTGATACTTCAAAGTTCCTTGGCTGACTTACTGGCTTTACCTCAGAAGCTGTTGCGGATTTCTTGTTGGCATTGAAGAATATTAAAGACTTCTTCGGGATTTCCCTAATATAATCTATTTCATTTTAATTGAATTATAAACATTTTGGATGCTAAACTATAACAGCGTCCTTATCCTTTTTCCCCCTATGAAAAAAAAAAAAGATTCTTTATAAGATATTCTGTTTCTGTTGAAAACCAATTTGTTAAGCATTTTTTTAATTCTTTTATTTATCTAAAATTTGTATCAAGTAAAATATCAAGAACTCCGTAAATTACAACAAAGTGATAAGTTGGAAAAATCCCGGATTTTACTAAAAAATACACACACTATTGCCTAAGATCCTTGGAGATAACTATTTTTCAAATGCTCACTTAAAAGGACAATTATAGTTTGACAGCGGCCAAGGCGACAAATGCCATTTCAACTCGTATTTTATGATTCGATTTGGGTCTTAGACGTTTCTTATCCCCCTTAAATGTCACGTAGTGGCCCACACACGCAACCAGCATATAAATATAATATACACATGTCTGCATCTTATAGATATCAACCCAAGGCAACCCGACCAGCTCCCACGCAACTTCCAGCTAAGATTTTTATTACTTTATTTTATGCTCGTTCTGCTGCGGTTTTGGTTGCTCGAAGTTCGTAGAGTCCTGCGTTTTTGGGTGGGGTTTTGGTTTTTGGGGGTGCGAATGTGGGGATTCCTAAGCCAGGCAATGAGACTCTAATGCGCGTAAAACTAATACAAATGCGTTTCTTATCCGCCACCACCCACCACCCCCTCTTGGCCAGGCCAAATTGCTTGTACTTTGCCACAAGTGACGGCTTATGCGGCAATATACATAAGTAATATTGCCCCTGTCTTCTTTTCCGGGCCATGGGCGTTATCTGGCCTTGGGGGCAAGGAAGAGGGCGTTAGATCTGTGCGAAAGGGGGCGGGGTGGGTGCCGGGGGAGCTTAACTAAATAACCGTTTGATGCGATTGCAAACGTTTTATGTTCTCATCACACTAATGCGAACACTTTCAGTCAACTGTCCATAAAGTGAAGCCAGAGAATACGGTCCGAACGATTTTTGATATACTCAATAAAGATGAAAAATACAAAAGAGTCTTCGATTCAAAAAAAAAATCATTTTTTAAAGACAATCAACGAAAAAATAAGCAACCGTAATTGCAATTTAATTTAATTCAGTTAGTTTCTAAAAACGAAAATTTAAAGTATTATAATCACATCAAAGAGGATATTTTATATTTATATTTACCAAAAGAAACCACGTCAAAGACCAATTAATAATTCATTTAAAGGCAAGCAAGTCTTAATTAATTTGAAATTATGCTAGTCAGAGTTTATTGAAAATATGAAGGCATACAAAAATGTAAATCTACTTTTTATGCCCCTTTGAATCTGGCAGCTTAAACAATTTTGATAGAATAATTGAATTAAATGCAAACGAATCCGATGGCGTAGAATTTCATAATTTACTTCAAACAAAATCCAATTTGTGTCGGCATAATTTACTTACAATATTTCCATTTATTTTTGTAATCGTTTGTTAAGCGTTTTTGTCCTTTACTTTTTATTATGCACATTTATACATACCTATATATACTTTATGAAAATGTCATGAACTCAAATTAGTTTCATAAACTCTGTGGCGATCATAAAACCAATGTCGGCTGCAGACACTGTTTTATTTAAATTTATTTTCGCAGTGCGTTTTTTTCGATTGCAGGCTACATAATTGCCCGAGCATTACCAGAGAGTGCAATTCAATTAAAATTCCTGATAAAAAAATGCGAAAACATCGAACTTCAAATGGCACTCGGCATGCAAAGCATATATATTTTTATTACCTCTCCATATTTTCGGTGTCGCTTTCATTTTTTTTTTATTTGAGGTGGACAATTTCAGCTTTTGACTGCAATGTCGTATGAATTTTTGTGTGAAAAATGAGGAAAAATGTGCTCGCATGAAGGAGAAAATAAACTACATAGTTTGATATATGACCGTTCCGTGTCATGGCCATGAATGGTGTATTACAGTGGACCGTGGGACATGACGATCCAATTAAATCAACGCCCTGATTGCAAAATGAATGACTTGTAAAATTGTCCCCGCCCCTTTGGCAAGTAAATATCAAATTGCGCAGCGTTCTCCCTTCGTCCTGGCTTCTCTGTTCCCTCAACCGAAACTGCAGTTATAGTAAATGGTCTATTGATTGATAGCGCTCACACACACCCTCGGATGTCCTGGGAAGGACTGGAAGGATGTGCCCAAGTTTGGCTGCAAAAGTTAGTTGAGCCTTCGGGAGGCGAATCAATAAGAAGGCAGCACACAAATGGCAACAGATTAGATGGCATTCTTTGTGTGTTCGGTGGTAGTTAAATTAATTCCATGCAAAACTTCTCCTTTGTACATTCGGGTCTCTTTGACCAAGTGGGGCGAATTATTGGGGAATTACTGGGAATTGTTGTGAGTTTCTCCGCACAGACCCGCCCTTTGGTTGCCCAAAAATTGTTTCAATTAATTGTCATTGTTGTTTGCCTTGTGATTTGACAAAATCTCTAGCAAATTAATGCAAATCATATACGAGTTTGTCCTTTTGGTTTGGGCTTTCGGTTGGGGAGCTTATACGTTAAGTGCTGAAACAAATCACCGAGCGTAGATGAGAAATCAGAAAGTAAGCAAGCTACCGAACAAAAGCCTCAAATACCGGACATAAAAACTTTCAAGTTGAAAAAACTTACTGCCAATCCCTGTAAGTCGTTGAGCATGAGTGCGAGTGCTCTTTAGATTATCACAAAAAAAATGCTTCTATCTTAGATTTATGTTGAAATGCAGGATACCCTTGAATGTGGGAAAAAAGTTTGTCAGGGCTTAAATAACAATTAAAGTTTTAATATTACATACTTTATATTCAGGATCTACAAGAAATTAAGAAATTTTAATGCTGAACTTAAAATAAAATCTCAAAATAATCATAATGTTGCCAGTAATTACACTTTTTTAAAGTTTCTATTTTAAAAAAGAACATTTCTGAAGCGTTAGAGTGCCATACTCCCCTCTTTTTAATGGGTAACTGATGAAAAACGAAAATGACTTCAAACGCTTTTCAAACAGCTTAACATGCCGTTGTCACACACGCGAGTACGAGCCAAAGCCGAAAATAAAATCCTCTCCAGCTGTCGGTGGTCCTGGCAACTCCAAACCCCATCATCCCAACCCAAAAGGACCCCCAACTCACTCCATCAGCATCCGCACTTCGTGGGTTGTCCTTCGCATAAAGCGCTTACCCTGTGTGGCAGATTGATTTGTGGTCGAGTTCATGCCAAATTTAACTTTAATAGTTTTTACTGGATTTACTTTTAATTAATTTTGTGGGACCACGTCGACGTCCACGTCCACCATGTCGTCCTTCCTCCTCCCTCCCCTTTTCCATTTTCCCCGATCCGGGTTTCAGTTACGAGCCAGTTCATTTGTAACGGGCCAAGTAAGGAGCGCAAGGCTCGGGTTCGGGCTCCAGCTCCAAGTCCTCGCTGCAGTGTTTATCGTGCCCGCGTAAAGCGCAATTAATTTCGTGTCTGTTTTGAGCAGCAGTGCCACGCCCCCGCCTCCCAGCTCCCCCAAAGTCCCGTTGCGCCTCTTTTACCAAGCCCAGCAGTCGCCGCCATTAATTATGAGATAAAACACTAAAATGTATCAAGTTGTTGCCTTGCTGTTGTTGTTGTTGTGCCTCTGTGCAAGTGACAAAGTTGCCGCCACAAATTTACGTCTGGGAATTTAATTTTCAACCCCACACCCGCCTTGTTTTTTCCGTTATCAGTTACCATTTTTAGTGTTTTGCCAATGCAGAAAGTTTGCCAAAGTTCTAACCAAGAATTATTCCTGTCTTTTTAGATTCCAAAAAGATGAAAGCATATGTGGCTGTGTGAAGTGGTAAGTATTTAATTGAGGCGGGAAAGTTGTTCGAGTTTGGCATCCTCAACAAACGATTAAATTAGAATTTTGAATTCAACAATGGGTTTTTCAAATCTGATTTAAAATATTATATAAACAAATTATAAATATAATATTTTGCTAAATTTGTTAAATGAAAAGTTTGGGTTGCCGTTTTCTCGGCATATCTTTAGATAGCCATTTTAATTGTTAGGCTTCATGAGAAGATTTGCCTGTCAATTTCTGATAACAAAGGCAAACAATTAAGACGTCATGAAAAGTAAGAATTTACGCAAGATTTCGGCCTGCCATTGTCTTCAATTTGTGGCTTGAGATTTTCCAGGTCTGCTCTTTCGCCTTGCAAATCCTCGTTAAGGGCAATTTCACAATACCTGTGCACATTATTTCCAAACAATGCAGGCGAGAGTACAATTAACTTTTAAGGACCCATTAATTAAGCCAAAGGATTACAACAATGTATGGATGCAACAGAGCAATTGCTTGCCATCGCCATCGCCATCGCCATTCAATTTGATTTCTATATATGCCATCTTCAATTTGGGGAACACATGTCGCCGGCATTTGCAAATCAAATCCCCTGAGCATACAATCAAATCAGCTCTGCTGATGATGATGATGATGGTGATGGCGACAAAGACGACGACGACGAGGACTTCCTTCTTTTGGAGCCGCTTTAAGTTGCTTAAGAGGAATCTTATGCAGGGGGATTTCGGTGGTTTTCGCATGCATTGAATTGCAGATTCTCGGGACTGTTTTAAATGCAGCCCACGCAAACAGAATCCCGGGGGCAAAAAGAAAGAGTAGAAAAACAAACCCAGGGGCTGATAAGGTGGGGGAGCAGCTCAAAAGTCGGTGGCAAAAGTATTCAGAAAGAAGTGCAGCTGCAAAAAAGTTTACATTTCCAGATGCCATTTTACTTTACTTTGCTGTTCGGCTTACATGACCGTGCGAAATGTACCTTCCCTTCGGAGGTTTTGCGGGTGGTGTGGGCTCGGTGGTGATGGTGATGGTCTTTGGGCCGTGTCCTTGTGTATTTTTGTGACTTTTGGCGCCGCCTGCAAAGACAACATCGTCGGAGAGTTAAGCAACTTACTTAAGCGAGGGAAAAAGCCGGGGAGAACTGGGTGTGGGAAAGCCGCTTTCAGGAAATTGTTGCATTTCGGTTTTGTATGTTGCCGTTGCGAGCCGAAATATACTTGACTTGACTTTTGCCCGCACCGCAAGCCAGTCGGAAAAGGGGGGAAAACAGTAACAGGAAAAACAAAGCAAGGCAAAGACGGTGGCAAAAAATCGAGGCCAAAATGTAACGAGACACAAGAACCCGCCCACTCGCTCTTCACTCTTTATTCCCCCTTTGTACATATATAATATATATGTGGGAGTTGCGGCTGTGGCACGTATTTGTTTTAATAAAAGTTTTGCAGCAAAACTTAATGAAATGTTGGCAGGCCTCAGCCACAGCCACAGCTACAGTCTCGACTCCTCTAAGGACCTCCATTTCGGGCCTAGCTTGTTTCCCAGACAGGGCCAAGACATGAACATGTTCCCACTGCCGTGTCTGCAGCAAAGTTATGTCTGCGCAAATGGGGAAAACGAAACGAAACGCAAGGAAACGAAACGAAACCCCGACCAGGACCAGGACCTCAAAGGAAGTTGTTGATATTTACGCTCGAGAAATTCGGAAGAATGCCTTTCAATTAAAACAAGTGTGCAATAATTTAAATGTATGCCTTGCGGTTGGAAAAGGGGTCGACAGAGAGTTGCAAATTACACGATCCGTCCTCGATAATTGACTGTTCCCACATCTTAATGTCTAATTGCCACTTTGCCGACTCTGACAGTTTTTGTGGCTTACAGAAATATATATACGTATTTCCAACAAAAAAAAACGCATTACACAAACATGACCTAAACCAAAGACAGCTTGTTAATTGGAAAGTTTTATGCAATTATAAAACTTTTTTCATTATTTTCTGGCATTTTTTCCGTGTGTCCTGTTGATATTTTGTCGCTCTGAGCATACAATTCGGTCCAAGTTGCAAGTGGTAGTGGAAATAGAAGCCCGAGAACGGACAGCAAGGTGGCCGAAACGATCCAGTGGAAACTGTAACCGAGACGTACCCAACTCATGTGTGACCAAAGTTAAAATGGAAATGCACAGCGGCAGGAAAGGATGGATAGGATGAAAAGGATGTGGATGTATGCGATGGATGCTGGCGACGCTCGGTCACAAAAACGGCAAAATGTCACTGCCAGCAGGGCAGCGTGGCCAACATGTCGCATGAGTGTTTTGTGCTAACTGCAAACGCAAAATTAATTTCATTTTGCAAAGTCCGCCCTCGTCCCCAAAGTGACAATTGCATGAGTTGGCAAAGTGTTTAGCATGAATTTCATTAAAGGCCAGCGGCCAACAATTTAAGCAACTTTAAGGGGAGGCAAGGAGGCGAGGAGGCAAAGAGGCCGGCCCAAATGAATATGTAAGCGGTCCCACTTGGCCATTTACGTGTACAATTGATGTGGTTTGATTTCGTTAGGGGCATTGCCAACTACATAAACACAATAACAAGCATTCGAAAGGAGGAGGAACCCGGCCCATTCAAGTCGACATCGACATCGCCGTCTAAAAGCAGTCCCAAATGGCCTCCGGCGGAGTTTGCAGGCCAACTATCCAGTCAGCCAAATGAAACGAATGAATAAATGAGGCCAGAGGCCCAGGACAGTTCGATTCCCATTCCTATACCGATTCCTATTCCGATTCCGACTTCGCTGACTGTCAATTCAAACGGAGAGGAGCATGTGCACATAATAGCTGCTAAGCAACTGCACTCGAGTATATTTGTATCTGTCGTACATATTTGTATCTGGTTAGCTGTGTATCTGTACCTTTGTATCCGTATCCTTGAGCGCTACGGCGGTGGCATGTCCCAGTTGGCATGTCAGCCACTCGTTGGGCCGCGTTCTTCATTTAAATGGTATTGAAATTGATTTCATTTGATAGCAAATTATAATATTTTATTTTTCTCTAAGAGCGACGTTCTATACACGGGCACTGGACAAAAACATTTATAATATCAGAGTAATATTAAATCAAAATTTAAAATTGCTTAATGGTGTTAATATGTGAAGAAACCTATACTAAACTTTTAATATATTTCCAAAAAATTATGTTATGAATTTAAAAAGCAAAAATATTAAAATTCAAGTGTTCCAACGATTTTTCCCCAAATGGGAAACCAATCAAGCATACAAGTATCTCAAGTACTGTTGATTCTTATTATCCTCGGTTTGGCTTAAAGTCAAGCCCAAAACTTGAAGGATTCACTCGGTCGTGATTGTTGTTTGCATGTTTATTATGGGCCTGGACGGCAGAAAGTCTCAAATCGTACACAAAATGCCGGCCAATCGGGAGCCATAACTGAGACCCAGGAGTGCGTAACGGAAGTGCCTCGTCTAAAGGACCGGAAGATGGGAAGAAGGAGCAGAATGAGGATACTGCCCTTTGTGTTTGCACTCGGGCAAATATAATAAATAACTTTTTGCTACTTTTCGTATTTGGACAATGCTCGACATGGGTCCCGTTTCTGCGCTTTAAACTTTGTCTCTCTAATGGCATTTCGATTGCCTCTCGGCTACTTTTCTGCAGTCATCCAACTGCGAACGGAAAATCAATATACTATATATGGTGGGTGGACCGCAAATGGCAATCAGTAGAATAGCCACCATTTGTCATGTCACAGTCGGGGCCTAATTTATCAATAATTATACTTTATAAACATTAAATGCGACCATTGTGCGAAATCAATCCGGATGTGGTCGAACGTACACACTCCGTAATCTATTAATAGATAATCTTTTTTGCACGAACGCTCTCTGGCATGTCATTAATTACGCGCCAAACCGAACCGATCCATCCTTCCAATTCCAACCTTCCCATCGGGCAAACCCCTCGGGTTCAGAATTCAGAGGCCCATGTCTTATCGGGGCAAACTTTTCCTTCATTTTTTTGCGGCCGTATTTTCATTAAATGGATTTCAATTATGTTCAGCACACAGCCAAAGGGGGCAGACACGAAAGCGGAGGGGAGGCCATCTGATGGGTGGGAAACTTATTGCATAAAAATTTACAAAAGCAGTTAAAATAAAAGGAAAAGGGAGCAAAAGAAACGAACAATTTTTAAAATGAATTCATTAAAAGTAAAAATCAGCGATGGCCGGAGAAGAGAAATCACAGCGCAAACAAGACAGGACTGGACTCGGGATTCCTTTGATATTAAATGCCGGGCCGCCTCCTGCTTAACCCATAACCCTTAACCCTTTGTTGGCGCGCTTCGTCGCGCTAGCTGCACTTTATTTGGCAACTTAATCGCCCAACAGGCCGCAATTTAACAGGAATTTCCTGCCCCTTCTCGGGATGAATTGTCGTGTTTTATTAAATTTCATCGCATTAAGGCTAAGCAGATGTTTCCCTTCCTGTCGCGATTTTTTACCCGTTAAGGGTGATAATAATAATGCCAGCAAGGCCTTAAAATCTAAGCCTTTATCTTATCACTTAGCTGGATTTTCTTTCTTCTCATTTTGTATTGTTAAATTGTGTTAAATGATTAAGAAACTATTTTTTGCAGGGACAAATTTTAAAAATGTTTTAGTACACCTTTATTAGATGCATTAAGGTATTTCCTAAAAATATATTTCTCTGTAAATAGATGAAAAAATATTTTTCTTATTATAAATTACAAAAATTATATTTTCATGGTGTTCTTATTTAAGTTCAGGCATTCAGCTCAATTATTTTCCGAAAATCAAGTAATTCCTGTCATCAACTCTTTCTGTCCGTACTTTTTATTTAAACTACAAAAAAGCAGGCTTAAAAAGGTTAATGCCGCATTCAGTATGGTTTCGCATTGTTTGGGGTGCCAGCCAAAATGGATTTAAGCATTTTTAAGTGTTTTGCAGCCGTAAAATGTTTATTTAGCATTTAAA